TGCACTTAGGACAAAAGGCAAACCCCATCAATACCCCCTATACAAATAATATATATACATGAATAAACCTTGGTAACAACCTTTGAGGGGTATTGGAAATAGGAACATCTTCTATGATAGTTCTTTGTGTTTAAACAAAGCAAGGCCCATTACAACAACAACATACCCAGTCTAATGCCATAGGTGAGGTCTGAGGAGGTTAGTATGTACGCAAACCTTTACCCTTACGCATAGTATAGACCAAAGCAAAGGTTATGGTGCTATCGACACCTAACCAATTAACCAAACGTATAATCGTTCGAGATCGAATCTTATGCAATTGTGGAATTCCATTCAAATAGAAAGTTTTTTGGCCAGTTCAAAGACAGACGTGAACCGTAGTAAAAGATAGTAGCGAAAAGAAATTCCCATAGTTGCATAAGGGGGACGTTGAAAACATTCCAGCAGATAGTATGCAATACTCTTATCAAAACGAGCACTATACTCTTTCTTAATTTAGGGCAGAAACATACTCAAGGAACACAAAGCTAAGAGGTTGTTTCTAAAAGACCATTGGTTCAAGTAACGCATACCAAACAGAAGTAAAGACAAGGAACAATAGCAGTAGCCAAATAATGTGATAACCAAAGCACATGAAACAACGAATAATAACAGAAATTGTAAGACAAGAAACTACGAGAATAAGGTCATTACACATGCATATATGAAGAAATATTGGTAAACATACAACCTTTAAGAGGTACTGAAAATATGAGCATCTTCTATGCTGGTTTTTGTTTTTGTAAACGAGACGATCGAGAATGGCAAACTCTGTCTGGAGCTGACTTACAAAAGTATTTAGCCTCTGCTCAACTACTTCCATCTCGGAGCCCATAATTTTAGCTGTAACAGAGAAAAACTATAATAAGACTTCATAAATTCAGAAACTAAGTAGACAGTAAAAATACTTACGGCGGTGGCGGCGGGCGACGGGCGGCGATCGTCGACCGGCGACTAGTGTGCTCCGAGCGGCGGAGCAATAGGTGTTCGGGTTGAATTCGTCTGAGAAATGGGCTAAGGAAATTTGATGGATGTGATAGGCTAAATGGGCCAAAGCTTAAGGGTCATATTCATTGGCCTGATCCATAGTTTCATTTATAGCCATTTTTGAAATGGTCATTGCCCTATTGGTACTTATGACCTTTACTTTGTGTCGGTCTTTAACTTATGTTTCTCATTAAAAAAAAAAACTTCTTTACGGGATATAAGTATATATTTTTCGTATTATGATATTTCTCAAGTTATATTTTATTTGACTTCAATTTCTAAAGAATGTATGCTTCAGTAGAAAACACACAAGTTTAGTTACTAAAAGGTAAAAAATAAAAATCAATTCATAAGTTTAGAAAAGGTTTGCTATATGCACATAAGTAAGCACTCACGGTGTTTACAAACACACCCTGGTTTTACTCCAATCACCTACACACCCTAAGAATTATGAAAGAAAATGAACAACTCAAGCTATGCTCTTCCTATTACTTAAAGATTTAAAAAGTCTAAAAGGAAATCACCAATGGCATTAATGGCCATCAACTTCCATAAGTGAATCTTATCCCATAATCAACATATAAAAGGAAGTATTAATATGCAAAAAAAAAAAAAAACCAAGAAGGATACGCAGCGGCCCTTAACATTGGCTCAACCATCTGCAAGAAAGAACAAGTGAAATAGGAATTACTACTTCATAAAATGATGACTTCAAGTTTTCCTTGTGGTAATATGATTCTTATTAAGCCCCGTATGTTAAGACACTTGATTCAATAGAGAGAGAGAGAAATCATCATTCCTGAAGTTATATGGAATGACAATAACTGTGCATCAATCGATTCAATCCTAGGTGAATTAGAGTCAGCTACATGAATCCTATTATTCCATTAAGACTCGTCTCTATTCAATACTTTAGGTACTCTAAATAGAAGTCATCTATATTTTCTACTGGTAAACGTTCCTTGGAGCAATGATAAGTTTTCTCCATGTGACAAGGTTCGAGCCCTGGAATCAACCACTAAAGCTTGCATCCGGATAGACTGCCTACATTAAGGGGTGCGAGTACGACCCTTTCCAAGTTCCAACGTGAATGTATAATGCTTCATGCACCGGACTACCCTTTTTATAAATGAAAACTAGGGCGTATTGCCAGTAAATGCTAGCAGGAGATTTCGCTAACATGGTAAACTGAGACTGGCGATTCAATATCATGAGTTACTTTACAGACTTGGATGAGTGGTTTTAGATGTAGAACAACAAGAAGTAAGAACAAAAGAAACAGTGATACCTGAGACAACAGGTGTGCAACCCCTGAAAGACGCTCCAGAAAGTTATATTTGCCACCATTAGATCTTCTCCTCTTTAGGCTGAGGTCAATAGAAAATGAGGGTGAAAGTTCAATATATATAAAATCATCATAAGTTAGAAAGCAGCAGTGAAAGTTTGTATGTATAGTTTAATGGAAGAGCAAGACATAAATAATGGCAATTCTATTTCCATGACAGTGGGATCAGTAAAATTAATCTCGCTTGTTATTGGTTAGAGTATTACCCTCCAATATGTCGGTTAATGAAA